ATACCTTGGATATCTTGGAAGACGCTGGTAAGTTAGGGTGTCGTCCTAGTCTCTTTCCGATGGAGAAAATTTTAAAATTGGATAAAGATGAGGACGGATTGCCCACGGACCCAAATCAGTACTGCAGGCTAATTGGAAGGTTGCTTTACTTGCAAGCAACAAGACCCGATATCACCTATGTTGTTAATGTGTTGAGTCAATTTGTCAGCAATCCTAAGCAAAGTCATTTAGAAGCTACTTACCGGGTCTTAAGGTATCTTAAGGCAACTGCGGGTCAGGGAATCCTCTTGGCCAAAGAGGGTGGGAATAACCTGATCGTGTATTGCGACTCAGACTGGTTTAGATGCCCCTTCACTCGAAGATCACGAACTGGATACTTGTTGCTTTTTGGGGGAGCACCAATCTCTTGGAAGACAAAGAAACAATCGGTTGTTTCCAGATCGTCAGCCGAAACAGAATATAGAGCCATGACAACCACTGTTAGCGAGATTCTGTGGATGAGGTGGCTGCTAAACGAACTTGAAATCCTACCTAGCGGACTAATCAATTATTCTATGACAACCAAGCAGCCCGCCATATAGCCAATATCCAGTCTTCCATGAACACCAAACATGTGGAAATGGATTGTTTCTTCGTTAGTGAACGAGTTGAATCTCAAGAGATAAAGCCCATGAGCATCGACACCAAACTGCAAATCGCTGACATATTTACCAAACCTCTAGGGACACGACAGTTCCACATGCTGCTTGACAAGCTGGGCACTCGAAACCTTCATGCCTCAGCTTGCCGGGGGGGGGGGGGGGGGGGGGGGGGTAAAGAAAATAGATCAATTATCCCATAATTATGAATTATCCCCATAATTATGTCCTTATTTTTCTCCATAATTTTCGTCATATCCTTTGTTATCTTGTTATTTTTTTCCTTTTTTAGCTGGCTTTGCCTTTATATTCATATGATTGTATGACCCTCTTATTATTGAATACAATAAAGAAATTCTTCTTCTTTCTATTAATAACAAGTTTTTTTAGCATGCACTTGAAGATACGACTCCCAAATTTGTTTTCAGCAACCATACAATGCTTTACACTATCGTATATGAACCACTTATCATGTCATGCACAACAGTCCAATCTTTCTTCATAATTTATAACTTTGATTCAATGTGTGATTTCCTTAAAATCCCGGAGCCCGACAAATGCGTCATCGTTCAATAACATTTCTCGTCGATGAATGCTTCATATTGAAAAATTCATTGGCAGTGGTTGGTTGGTGTCCATCACGCCATTCATTTAAATGATATATTTGACCCCTATAAGGAGCTAAGAAACCCTCTCCATTTGTGTATCTGGCACCAACCAAGTAATAACCTAATAATAAATTAAGTTAGTAAACCATCAAAACTTATACTTGTTAATATATTGTAATCTATCAAAAACTATACCCGGTCTTGGAACTTTTAAACCATGAGGTCTAAGAAGAGCATCTCCAAGCACTCGACTATCAGCAGCTGACCCTCCCATCCCGGTAACACATATATAAATTGCATATCTTGTGAGCACACCCCTAGCACGTTTGTTGCAATATCATTTTTTCTTGTTCTATATCTAAGTTTGTCTTCTTCTGGAACTAAACATTTTATGTAGGTTCTATCTAAAGCTCCTAGACAATTCTAGAACCAAGAAAAAAAATATCATTATACTTTCATAATAATTAGACTTATTTACAACTGAGTAAATTTTACAAAGAAGTGGAAATACCTTAAACCATTTTCATTTTTGATCAGTAGAGTTATCAGTAGACTTATTTGTAACAATGACATGATTTGTATTTGAAACACCCCCTTTCTCTATATACACCCACCCCCCAAACAAGCATTAGTGTGAGTTTAAATAGAAATCATAAATATTTTAAAAATCCGAAAACCATCTTGGGGTTTGTTTATTACCATTTTAATAAAATTAATTTATAACTTATTCAATCAGCTATACATAATCATTTGGTAGTGGCTCAACAATATAAAAAGTAAGCTTTCGAAAGGGGCGTTCAATACCAAAAAGAGAGTTTTTTTCTTTTCTTCCAAACATACCTCTTCCAATAATAAAAAACACTCATTCCACCTATCAAAAACCTACATAAACAAAAACCCTTCCTAATTTACATAATCAAATTAATCGATACAAATTAATTTATTGATGCAAGACTTAATACAAAACTAACCAAACAATTCATGAGTTGTGATACATGGCTCAAAAACCCGTTGACATTTAAAAAAAAAAACACAACCATTTTAATGTTAGTTATTATATTATTGTTGGGTGTTTGTTTCCAAGTTTCAAACTATTTGTATTTGATGTATATGGAGAAGAGAGGGGGTGTTTTGTATAGGTACACACGTGCAAGCATATCGTACAGGTAGAAATACAGTATCCCGGCCATTACTTCATTTCTCTTCTTCAAAGTCTCTTTCAGCATCTCTCTCTCTCTCTCTCTCTCTCTCTCTCTATATATATATATATAATCGATCTGTAGTCTGAAAGTGTGGGGCTTTGGGAGGATAAAGAAATGGTGGATGTTGAAATAGTTTGTTGTATGTGTGGTGACGTTGGCTTCCCTGATAAGATTTTCCGATGTATCAACTGCCACAACCGCTTCCAACACTCGTATGTCTTCTTTCATTGCTTTTCTTTAATTTCCGACCAAACCACCTTTTTTTTTTCTTTACGTTTTCCGTCCACCCACCGTCCACGGCTGATTTTCCGACCGAACAAGTCTTCTACTTGACGTTCTCCATCCAGCGCCTCTACCATCGCTCTCTCTTTCTCAGGCACCGGTTTAAGGGTTTTCTACCTTTCTTTATGTTCCCGATCACACTTTTCCGATCAAACAAGCTTCCACCATCCACCTTCGCGCTCTCTCTCTCTCTCTCTCTCTCTCTCTCTCTCTCTCTCTCACACACACACACACAGAGGCACACGCACATGGATTTAGTTTATGGGGGTGCTTTAACTTTTGACAAACGCATAGATTATCTTCTGCTCGTACTTTTTGCAATCAAAGACGATCTTTTGGTTACGTTGTCCAACCACCGCCGGCTCACCGCCTCCTCCGCCACCACCATTAATTAACCTATAAACACATTATTTTATGTTGACTAAATCTTTTTATTCTTAGTGGTAATGTTGACTTTGACCACTGATATTATCAGGAAATCCATGTTTAATTCCGGCAATCCTTGAAAGAATCCTTAAAACCCTTTTTCTAGCAAGTGGGCATCGCACTAATTACATTATTTAATCCACTTTTTAATTCATTAATTAATTCAAATTCGTATACAAAATTGTACATGGTAGGTATTGTAGCAACTACTACAACGAATCATCGGATCCGCCGGAGATCTGTGATTGGTGCCAAACCGACGAGATTCGAAGCTCCAAACATGGCGGTTCTTCCAAGAAACCTGCCGGAGTGAGCAGCAGCCGGTCTGAGTATTCCGGTGACAAGATGATCAAGCAACATGACCGTGAAGAGGGACCGGAAAAAGGGAAGTCGTCCACCGGAGCTCCTTCTCCTAGGACTACTCGAAGGTACAAGCTACTTAAGGATGTCATGTGCTAGAAATAAAGAAAATTAATATTTTGTATAAATCTAAACAAAAAATGACAAAAAAATAAAATAGTGTGCCAAATATAAGGCTTTTTGTTCCTTGTATTATACTATATTTTATAATTTGTGGTGTTGGAATTTTCGATCAAACATTTCACTTGCTATATATATATATATATATATATATATATACGATCTTAATTATGGTTTTTTTGATATTAGTTATAATTTAAATGATATATTTGTATCATCTTAAAATTTGTACAATGACATTCTAAGGTATATTTAACATATATAAATTACGAAATAATGTATTTATTTAGTCATTTTATGCATATTTTTCTAGGTATTATTTATTGAAAATAACATATTAAATCAAAAGAATATTATGTTTCTGAATTAGTGTCTTTACGACATTACTTGTAGTGTATTTTCTTTGGTGTTTATTTCCTTAAATGGTTTTATTTCAAATTTAGTTTGTTGATGTATGACTTAAAACGGAGTCAGATATAAGATTCCAAATTTTCGTTTAATATTTTTTAACTGTATATTTTAAAATTGATAAAAAAAGGGAAGACGTGTGTATACTTCATTAGAAGATTACTTGCATGGGAAGCAATTTGGGTTTCTCATTAACATGAGTTGGATAAAGAAACATTATTGATTGAATTTGTGTTTAAAATGTTGAGTAAGATGCAAGTAATCGTTTTCTTCATTGGTATTATATAACTTCTAGTTTTTTCTGATAAATATCAAATGTGTATTTAATTTTCTCGCATAGACAATTGTAATATGTTCCTTATATATTAAACAGTGTTTGTTTTATTTTAATTTTTAAGTAAAAACTGATTAGTATCACTAAATGAAATTTTCGATTTTGAGTAATTATTTCTCTAAATAATTTTTTTAAAATATAATCAGATATTTAGACAATTTAAAACCGTGTATATATATATATATATATATATATATATAGAGGAACGTTCAAATAAAAACTTGTCCCATTTGTGTAAACCGTGTAAACCAATCTCATCCATCCATTTTCTTGATCAATGACTAAGATTAGTTTACTTTATTTTAGGAAATTAAAAAATAAAAAATATTAAAAAATTATTTTATTTCAATGATAAGGGCAAATTGGTAAACAAAAGTTAACATCAATATAACATTAATTCCATAAACAAAAGTTAACATCAATACAACATTAATTCCATAAACAAAAGTTAACATCAATAGATCATTAATTCCATAAACAAAAGTTAACATTAATACAACATCAATGAACCATTTTATAATGAAATCTTTTCACATTAACATTAATTCTATAAAGAACAAAATATAATATGCACCCGTTCCATCATATATTTATTTCATAAAAGAACACAATACATTACGCACCCGTTTCATTTTCATCCTACCAACTAAACAGATCAACTTCAATCACAAAGCAACATGGATCATCATGAACCTAGATGTACATTCAATCACAAAGCAACAAGGATAACCATGAAACTTCAATCACAAAGCACCTATTTCATTAACACGTATAATATGCATAGACGGAGCAAATAAACCATTTTACAATGAAACCTTTTCACATTGAAACAGTTTCATGACCATTGTTTTTTGAACTTTGTTTATGAAACTATTCATTACAATATTTTCATTAGGAAATAGAGAGATTATATTATTTCGATTTTTCAACTGTTTTGAAACGTTTGATGAAACCGTTGCATCAATAGTTCATTTTCCTTATTCCACTCATATGGACATGATTCATCATTATGAACATTTTCATTATGAAACAGTTTCATGAAACCTTTTCATTAAAGTGGATAATATGCCTAGAGTATTAATTTGGACAATATGACTAGAGTATTAGATTATGAACATGTTTCATCATTATGAACCTTTTCATTATGAAACAGTTTCATGAAATTTGCCCCATATGAAACAGTTTCATGAACTTTAGGAATGAAGTTCGCCCCATATGAACGTCCCATATGAAACAATTTCATTATGAAACAGTTTCATTATGAAACAGTTTCATTATGAAACATTTTCATTATGAATGCCCCATTCAAATCAAGTTTTTAATATTATAATATATTAAAAATTTTAATATGTTACCATTCAAGAAATTTCCGACTACCTTATTTATCATAAAAATATAGAAAATGACCAAAATACCCTTATTGATTAAATTTAATTAAAAAAAATGGAATTTTTCTATTGGTCAAATTTGGTTTACACGGTTTCTTAGAATTGCATGATTTTCATTTGAACTTGCCCCTATATATATATATATATATATACCCTATATAGGGTATATTTCAAATGCAACCATGTTCATTTGTACAACCAATGCAACCCAATTAATTATGATATTTATGGAAATAATGAGAGTTCATTTATTATGATTTGAATATTTATGGAAGATGAATAAGGTTCATTAATTATGATTAACACTTTATATTAGGAAACAATCAAAACTTTTATGAAATCACATATTCATCAAATTAAATGGACGGTTGAGATTGAGTTGTATTGGTTGTACAAACGTAAAGGGTTGTATAATAACCAACCTCTATATATATATATATATATACAAGTCAAATGACCTTCTATCTATATATATATATATATATATATATATATATATATATAGAGGAGTGATAATATGAAAACCGCCCTCATTTGTGTAAACCGTGCAAATCACCTTCATCTGTCGATTTCATTGTTTAATCTTATGAAATTTTTTCATGAAATTGTTTAATCTTGTGAAATTGTTTCATATAATACTTTTTTTGATGAAGTT